GAATTTCATGACAATTTAAAATGAGTTAATTATACTCCATCAAGTGCACTAACATACAAAAAGCGTATAAAAAATTGAACTAGAAACGATTTGGAAGGTTCATTGGATTATTTTTTTTTAAACCTATACGTAGCCTTGCTGTTATCGATGAGGTTAACTGCCAGAAAAATGGGATGGTTTTCAAATTTTCTTTGATATTCTTCACTTAGTTTTTTTTTTATTTCTTCTCTAATAAAAGGTAATTTTGTATATTGATGAATAATTTTATTTGTGACAAACCATGGTGTTGTAAACTTTTCTTAGTGATTTGAATTGAAATCATTAAATTCTATGTTTGAGTTTGAAGTGGTTCCCCAGAGCTAGATACCATAAGTCCACATAGGTTTCAATACAATTTTGTATAAAAGTTATTTGTTTTCAACAGATAATTTTGATTTTTAACCAATAAGCCAATCTAGTTTGTTTGATAACAAAAATGAAGTTCGTTCCAAATGAGTTAATGACACTACAATGTCATGTAAGCCGTCTGTCGAGACGTATACCAAGTTACTTATCTTCGTTGGATTGTGGAAGCATGACATTATTCAATGTTACTGGGGGCAAGTTCTTGTTGACATAGTAAATGTAACTTGAATGGATTTTCTTTCATTTACTTTAATTTTCCGATTTTGTAGCCGCTGTGACAAATCGACTAATACAGCCTGAAGGTTTGATAATGTCAGAAAAGGATCCTGATTTGATGATAAAAAGCAGTGTCGTCTGAAAATGTTGCGACTGTAATACCCTGAGGTTAAAATCTGACCTGTCAATTGGACACTGTTTATGTTTATTGTGATTTTGTAAACGCATTTATCTCGCCACAAGATCAGAGACCGTGTAATGTGAAAGAAACATAGCCACGACGTAAAATCGTACTATTTTGTACCGGGCGGTGAAACCGTATAGTGCGAGTCAGGCTGATTTACTTGGAAAAAAATTAATTTGATCGTGTATGGAAACCTAATTTTAATAAACGTAACAAATTATCATTTAACATTTAGTTTTATTTTAAGGATTTTAGAGGCTCTACTTTTGAGTTTACACAAAATAGATTATTTTAAAGTCAAAATAATCTACTACATTATTGGAACGCTGACCAAACCCTCAAACGTTTGTTCAGATGCCAGACATTGAACTCCTATAATCTCACCAAGTCCTGAAACACACCTCACAGAACTCAATCATCATCCACAGTTTTTATCTTCATAAACCAAAAGTACATTATTAAAATAACAAATTAAAGTTGCAATCCTTTATGTAGTCACAAAGACAAAGAACACGAACCATTGTTGAGACCACGGTGATACATGGCCAGGTTACCTAGTTATTCACATTATCGATACACACAGTTTTTATAACCTTAACTGACTACGATGACAAACAGTTAGTAGCTTGTAATTGAAATTGGATCTTGTTTGTCTCCGAGTTCAGTCCAATTACATATTGTTTACATTGCGATTGTGACATAAAACAGAGTTCACGAGCACGTTCTTATTGGCAATTAATTAGCCATCAGATTGTACTCATAACTGTTTGTTGATATTTGCGTGGTTGTTATGATTATATGTTTTAGCAAATTTCCCTATAGGGAAGTAGCTATTACCGTAGGTGGCACGGTAAGACCTAGACCCGGGACCGATTTACTTTTTCATTTTGATGTCCCCAGAGGCCAAAAACACCATTTGTTCAAATTTTTATATATGTATATATATATATATATATATATATATATATATATATATATATATATATATATATATATATATATTGACTTTATTATTTTCTTGCATTTTTAGGGCTACTAATATAATAAAATTAAAACATATATAACAAAGTACCCTTTTAGTAATTATTTTATTTTTCATGACGACATGTTTCGGAACTAAGTCCATTGTCAAGTCATTTTTACCATAACCTCATTCTTTAAACTAACAAAATTAAAAATATAATCATATGTAAAAATAATAAAATATGTTAACTAAATCTTAATACATTTTGGTATTAATTTTTTCATTATACTATATGAATGTTTTTCTTTCTTTCCTTAGTTTTTCAATTTTATCAATTACACAATGATTCCAAAATTAAACCAACCTATCTACGATAAAATTGAAAAACTAAGGAAAGATAGAAAAACATTCATATAGTATAATGAAAAAAATTAATACCAAAATGTATTAAGATTTAGTTAACATATTTTATTATTTTTACACATGATTTTTTTTTTAATTTTGTTAGTTTAAAGAATGAGGTTATGGTAAAAATTACTTGACAATGGACTTAGTTCCGAAACATGTCGTCATGAAAAATAAAATAATTACTAAAAGGGTACTTTGTTATATATGTTTTAATTTTAATATATAGACATATATACAGGGTGACAAAAAAGTCTGGAAACGGTTTAATATCTTTTTAACTAAATCCGTTAGAAAATTCAACCCTTTCACATCAACTTACATGTATAAAAACTACTTTTTCCAAGAATTGTCATTTTTTACCTGTTCCAGGGGACGACCCATGAGGAGTAGGTACATAATCTTTAATGTAAGCATAGGTTGATATGCACATCATTTTAAAGGTCTGGTCAAGTGGAGTTCATTGCCGGAAACCGCGTCAAAAAAGGTTCATCTGTTACAAAATGGCGGCTGTCCAAAGTTCTTGTTGAATATACCTGCACAGGCCTTACTATTGGTAAATACTCGTATTAAACATTAGCTTGAAAGCTTAAACTGTATTTTAAAGTCAACTAGCTCGTAGACTAATATTATTCAATCTTCAAAACAAATTAAAACGAATTTCACATTTCCCGGCTAATGTTGAATATGAGTAATTTACCAATTCTAAGGCCTCTGCAGGTATTCCGCAAGAACTTTGGACTGCCGCCATTTTGTAACGGATCAACCTTTTTTGACGCGGTTTCCGGCAATGAACTCCACTTGACCAGACCTTTAAAATGATGTGCATATCAACCTATGCTTACATTAAAGATTATGTACCTACTCCTCATGGGCCGTCCCCTGGTGAAGGTCAAAAAATGGTAATGCTTGCAAAAAGTAGTTTTCTTACATATAAGTTTCTGTGAAAAGTTTGAATTTTCTAACGAATTTAGTTTAAAAGATATCAAGCCGTTTCCAGACTTTTTTGTCACCCTGTATCTTATCTTACTAATATTATAAATGTGAAAGTTTGTGTGTTTGTTTGTTTGTTTGTTTGTTTGTTTGAAGTTCAATCACGCATAAACCACTGGACGGATTGGGCTGAAATTTGGCTTGATGATAGCTTACATTCCCGATTAACATATAGGCATATTCTTATCTCAAAAATCCTTTCGGGCTCCGCCCCAGTGGCTCTGTAATTCCCCATGTTAACCTTATAAGTATTCATATTTAAAGGGAATTAAAGAATTTAGTCAGCTGTTTCAACTAAAAAAGTTGGTTCTATGATATGGAAAAGCATTAAAAAGTTATAAGATTTACCAACAGGGTGCAGCACTATATTTTTTTTTGCATTTATGAAAACAGCTAATTTGAACTAAGCAGCAACAAAAAACTGTGATTCGCAATGAGAACTGTCAAAGTAGGATTGTTTACAGTTATGTTTATGTTTTTCATTTCATGAATAATTTGTGATATTTTGCGAATTGATAATTTATTTTTCTCTATTGTTTGGTGAAATGGTAGAACATTATGGCTATGGTAGATGTGTAATACTATAGAATACTGTAAATTTAAAAAAGCAAATTTTATCAAACTGTGTCCTCCACCCATTGCAATCGCAAAGCTTAAGTATAACTGCAATAAGCATTTTATACTTATATTCCAACCCCGTACGAAGGACGGGTACTCTGCTAGTATATATATATATATATACGCCCGTGAACGCGATGCGATAACTTGAGTAATTTTTGTCCGATTTTGATGAAATTTGGTTTGAAGGTGTAAAGCGGAATAAACTTGAATGAGTTCGCGAACCAGCACGATCAGACCATGGGAACGGGGCTTTACGGGGGGTTTTATGGGGTAAAAATTGGTTTTTCTCAATTTTGACCCTCAAAACACAAAATTTCCCGATTTCTCTTTAGACCAATTTAAAGAGCTTAAAAAAACAAATAATTTAGTATATAAAAGTATTTTTGTGTGATTATTAGTAACGGAGAAAATTTAAAAAAATTTTAAATTTAAAATTCCCATGTTGTTCTTATAGAGAATATTGTCAAATGTTGTGGTTTGTTTGTTTATGGATATATTTTGATCAAACTTGGCAAATTTATTTATTTTGTACTAAGCTATCAATATTTTACTCAAAAACACACTTTATTAGTTTCCTTGTAGCAGCAAACCTAGGTACTCGTTAAACCTAATGTTATCAAAATATATTTAACTGAAAATCAATTCAGACAAATGGAAATTCGCTTAGTCGGCAGGTTTGCTGCGGCGGGGGTATTTAACTTATGTAGAAAAAATACAAATACTTAAATATTTAATATTTAATAAGCTTTATGGTTGTCTTTCTGTGCCTAAATATTTTTTATCTTAATGTACAAGCGAACATTTAATTAAACATATTAAGTGTAATGCATATCATGTTCAGATACGTGAAATTTGTCTCTCAAATCAGTATTAATAGCCAAACTGATGATAAGGAAAAGATTATAAAACTGACAATAAGACTTGATATTTAAAAATTGCTTCAACCAGTTTTAACGATATGTTATACCTTGGTCTTCAATAAATTGTTGTGCTTGTGTCAATCAATGTGTAAACGTGTTATTAAGCTCATGTTAGGGCGTGGCTTGGTGTTGTCTTAGGCTCGAAGTCAACATTTAAATAGCTGAATTAAAATAAGCTCAAATTTTTTTCATTGGCCGATTTTGGATTTATTTTTACGAAATTGCACATTATTTAATGGAAATCATTTGGAAACCCAGTATTATAATGTGATACATTAGCCGAGTGTTACAGGGGGATCAGCTGACAGTGAAGTGTACCTCTCCCAACGAGCTGCAGCATGAGGACCGCTTCGGCTACAGTTGGACCAAGAACAACGCACTGTTCAAAATGACGCCTGACCTGGAGTTCTGGGAGGATTTGTACCCTGGAGGCAGCATTCTCAGGATATATAATGTTCAGGTAGGATTGTAAAACCACATTATACCCGTCGATTAACATTCGGATTTATATCATCCAAAACTTGCACTTACTAAAACTAAAAGTTCATTATAATCATTTTAGAAGGAGTCTGGCTTTTAATCATGTATACACTATCAAAAACATAAATCATCGTATATAAAAACATAATTTTTTAACAATTTTACCTATTTGTTAAACTTGTTTTTCCACTTTCTGTCAAATAAATCTTAGTTTGTCCAATTGCGTCCAGTTGAAACAGTACAATAGCGATGAGCAATTCAATTACAAAATCCAAAGCTTTTATGAAATAATTAAGTTATCAGTTGTATGTGAAATAACTTTCTCGTTAAATGAAAATTGAATTCTGATTTGTTTATTATTTATCTAACACTCTCTTTGAGACCGGGCCTTATGCAAACTACGAAATCAATTAACTCATTAACGGCTGAACATATTTAATCCAAACTTTCCGGGGTTATTTTGACAAACAGTGTTCATGTTATTAAACAAACAAATTTCAATTTGATAATTTATGTACAATTTGAAGCCAACATATTGTTTTTAGCATTAGCCTTATGAGTTGCCATGATGGTTATGAGATAACAACGGGGATGTAAACAAAGAATCATAGCATGCTTGTTAGGTTGTTGGTAAACTAATATACATCTAAAAGGAAAACCCACTCAGAATACAGAGAAAGTATTACACGGCATTTGGAAACGCCCGCCACCACTGTATTTAAGAGGTACACTATTTTACAGATTTGATCTGCGGCAATCCTAAAATGCTATGGGAAGGGATGGAAACAGGTCCACGAAGTAGGAAGTGCTGAAGGAATTAGTAAAGGCGAGCAGTGCGGAGTGTGGGAACCGTTTGTGACAGTTAGATTAATGTATCTGCAATACTTAAATGCTATGAAAAGGGAGGGAAACAGGTCCACGATGTAGGTTGTGGTGAAGAAAGTATAGTAAAGTCTGGCAGGGCAGAGTGTGGTATGTTTTATGGATATTTTGTTTTAATAAATGTATAATCCTATATTAGCAATTTTTGCTATTTTATTTATCATTAAATGTTTTTTAAACTAGTATATTTTCAAATTCAAATTTTATTTAGAATAAAAGATTATTTGTTAACTAATTTGTTCACTCCACTCAATTGGCGGACCTGAGACCTCACACCTAGCATTGGATAAGATTACAGAACCGTTTTTTTATTGCATTACTGATTTATATATATTTAAAATATATTACGTTTCATGCATTTAGTACTGTATCTTTTAATATTGTTCGCTTTACTGTTGAACGAAATACCTCGTAACCGTTTTAATAAACGTATTCGTGCACATTGCTTTTGTATACAGATACAAGTCAATCAAATAAGCTGATAAAGGGACACTAATAAACCACCTTGCATTACTCAAAGAATACTTTATAGCTTAGAAGATAAAGCCAACCCCATGAAAACTAAGATTTTGGATTCCGCGTAAAGATCATAATTTTGAGTCCATGCACAATGGACTATTGCTGCAGCAGGGAAAAACGCTAGTTTGAGCTCTCCAGTTAAAGCATCAATAAACTATGTTAATATGCGTAAAATACGGCATACTAGGTACAAACCATCTTAGGGCCATTTCCAAAACCAAAACCAATACACATTTCCTAAAGAGACCATACAGTGAGCAGACACAAAAACTCCTTTTCTATCCCTAGAATATTCTACCATCAAATTATGAATACTTGCGTGTGGCTGAATAGTGGTAGTGAGCGCTGTTGAATGTATCAAGGTATTGATTCCTGTTCTATGCATTATCACTCCACCTGAATTCAAACTTAAACAGACTCTACTGTAAAGTAATTACGAAGATTTTAGCCATCCTAAGTTCCCAATTCACTACTGTTGTCTGCACCTTAGGATGAACTTCATTGGTTGAAAGCTTCGGATTAAGCTTTGATCATAGAGATATGATTCACATTGTACTTCAGTTTACATATTGTTAAATTTAGTTAGTTTGGTACAGGTACTTTGCAGATATTTGGGAGATTATTAAGGACATTTGTCACCACAATAAAAAATACATGTTCTCGACGTGATGTCATGGTGTTGGGTTAATAAATATATTTAATTCAATATTTAAGTCAGCTGCTCTGAACTATATGCAGTTTTAACTGATTCCTTGATATCCGTGTGTAGGACGAGCCTATAACACGTTCTCGCAGTGAGCTGACATCCTGAAAACTATCTACCTGGCCCACCGTCGTGGTTTTGGTCCACAGGACTAAATCTTCTCAATCCTTTACTAATTACTGTGGTTTTCATCTCCTCGGCTTAGGGCCATAAAAATTCGTTTGCTTTCAGGGTGCAGGCCTAAATATAGTATTCTTTAAAAATAAGCTTTACTTTCTATAGTGGTATATTTATAAAACTACTCAAGACGAATGATTTACATTCCCGCTGTACGTTGTAGTATGTGCACAATAATACGGATTTGACTATAATATGTGTTTTACAGAAGTCAGCCGTGTATAGTTGCCACGTCCACGGTGCGGCGAAGTCCGTGTCACGGAGTGTGCGGCTGGAGCTTCTGAACCGCTCGGTGGTGCCGTGGTGCGCAGCCAGTGATGGGTGGCGCTGGGCTGGTCCAGGAGTCACTGCGAGGGAGGAGTGTCCCCCGCAGTACCAAGGTATCGCTACTCGTCTCTGTCTGCTGGTCGACAAGGACCAAGCGGCCTGGCAGACGCCGGACTTCTCAGACTGTGTTGGCGATAAAGTTTCGTCCATCGCAGATAACGTAAGTGGAGTTTTGGTACAAAATTAGTAATTAACGAACAATAAGCATAAGGAACATTTAAATCGTACTTTACATGCTGCAAAAATGTAAAATTTTCAGTTCAGACTATTAAAGTAAAAATATTATCTTAGAGCTGGATAAATTTGATCTATTTTGCGAACCAACAATAACGAAATTAGAAACGGGGTGTTATACGATTTTTAAATTTATTTGTCAAAAATCGTGTCTTTCCAAATTTGACCCTTAAAACATGGAATTACCTAATTTTTATTATAACCATCGTGTAGAGCTTCAAGAAAACAACCAATTTTGTATATTGAAGCATTTTTGTACGATTAGGTACTAAGAAGTACGTACAATAAGATTACAAAGAATGTTTTCAAAAAGTATACTGTACAGTATATTAAAAACTGTTATTATTCCTATATAGACTATTCACTTAGACTACATACTTTCTGCGGCAAGGGGTATTTGGTGATTGTTTATAAAAAGTAAATTCAGTTAATAATCATGCAATTCTTCGAAGGTATAAGATATATTCACTGACAAATACTCTAATGTCAAGTTCCACCGCGTGACGCTGGGTTACGGCAACACCACCGCTACTGACACACTGTTAGCACTGCTCAAAGTGCTGCAGGACCGTGGCACCACCTACCCTGGCGAGGGAGAGCCCGTAGTTGCCCTGCTGAAACGTCTCGTCGACTACCTCAACGCCACCGCTACCCTTGATGACGTCACCAACGCCACAGACCACTTATACGGAGTGGTCAACTCTCTACTGCTTCAGAGAAACTCTATCATACACCATCAGGTAGCAACATACAGCAGTAATTGGATACGTGAATACAGTTAGTAAGTAATTATTTATAGACTGTATTGAGGTAGGCCTAATCGTAATAATATTTCATTACAATAATATATACAATTTTAAGAATATTGCAGATGAAATGTTAGTTGTATCAAATTCGTCCACCAAGAAAACTCATAAGCCTTAAAAAAGACATTAACTCGTGTATTCTAACCAGAAGGTTGAGGAGCTGCAGAGGGTGGTGACCCAGTGGGCTCGACTGTGGGGCACCTTGGGCGGCTCAGCCAACCTCCATCTCGCCCTCGACACTCTAGCAGTAGACATGTTCAGATACGAGGGTGGGAGTGGTCTCAGACGAGGGCTCACACTCACACTGCCTAGGAGCTCTCTCAGGTCAGTAGCCACCACAAACCATCACTTAATTATCAATGTATTAAATCAAAATAAAATTTAGTTATTTACATTCATAATTCACAATATATTTAAGATACCTCAAATAAGCAGGTTTAAGGCAATCTACAAAAATCATAAAAATCCAAATGACCATACTAATAATTACCCAAGTAGGTCAGTAAACATATAAAAGAACAGTCCCTAAAAGAACCTCAGGCAAAGGGTTTGAAGTCAGAGGAGAGGTCCGTATATAACTTTGGGCAAAAGTACGCCACGTTTTTCCTCCAAAAATCATGCTTCACTTTGGGAAAACTCCAGGATGGGTCTTGCGCCGAGAGACCCTCTCTCAAAAGCGGAGCATGCCAAAGAGATACTGTGCCTTTTGAGTTAGGAGAGAATTTATGAACCGTGCAGCTCGTCATGATCCGGCAAACTATATCACTCGTTTGCACAAAAACCATTGTTCCGTACTTGATAGACACAATTTAAATTTTATGGCTAAGCATATTACTAATTCTATGTTACTTATTCTTCCAACAGCTATCCGGCGTGGTATGCAAGTCAAATTTCTCTACACGTTGAGGCTAACAAAAAGAATCAAAACAGTACCTCGAGCGTTTCTGTCATCACCTACAACAAACTCTCAGAGTTTTTGCCTCAGCGGTACTCTCAAGTTCTAGAGTAAGTGTTTTCTGTAACTACAATTTGTTTTTGTTATATGAAGTACGTAACTAAACAAATGTGTGGTTAAGTTAAGCTACTGTAGTATTATCTTATCTTACTAATATTATAAATCTGAAAGTTTGTGAGTTTGTGTGTGTGTGTGTGTGTGTGTGTGTGTGTTGCTCAATCACGCATAAACTACTGGACGGATTTGGCTGAAATTTGGCATGATGATAGCTCACATTCCCGATTAACATTAAAGCATATTCTTATCCCAAAAACCCTTTCGGGCTCCGCCCCAGTGGCTCTGTAGTTCCCTATGTTAATTTTATGATTTTTCATATTTAAAAGGAATTAATGAATCTTAACAGCTGTTTCAATTAAACAAGTTGGTTCTGTTCTATGTTGTTCAATAGCATAAAAGTTACAAGGATTACCAACAGGGTGCAGCACTATTATTATTTTTTTTTTATGACAACAGCTAATTTCCAACCAAATGGTGAGTGATCGTAGCGAACGAGCTAACCTGAAGGCAAGTGAGCGCAGCGAACGAGCTCTAACCTAAAGGTGAGTGAGCGTAGCGAACGAACTTCAACCAGGACGTGAATGAGCCATGCGAATACTTATGAAGTTAAACGGGGCAAAGCCCGCGGGTACAGCTAGTTCACAATAATTATGGAACATTGTTAATTTATTTATTGTTGTAAATATTTACTTTCTTTTGGGGAAGCAACATAATCCATTTTTAATTCCCTTTTTTGCTAAAGGAAAATGACAGAAATATCGAATTCGTTTTAAAATTTGTTTAAATGGTATTTTTATATTAACCTGAAGTTCAAGCTTAAAAAAAAGGTTTACGCACTATCTTTAGCTTTTAACTGAGTTTACAGACCGTAATATCGAGCAGTGGTTTTTATTCACATAAACAGATAGCTTATAGTGCGTCAAGCAGTTTAATTTGATTTTTCAATAAGAAATTAAAGATACATGTTTGCAGTAAATAGTATTTTTCTTAGGTTTAATGGCAATGAGGAAACAAGCACGCTGAAAACAATAATACTATGTAGAAGAAAAAAATACTTACAATAACTTAGTGAGAACAATGGAATATTGTGTTTGACAAAAGTAAATAGGGATACTTTAAAAAAATATATTAAACGATTTCAGTGGTTTAGTAGCTACCATCTTGGAGGTTTAGATGTACGCATCGAGAAAAGAGTGACTGATGTTTTAGGAAAACCTTATAAAAAAAACCCATAAGAGGATAATTGACTAATACCGCTATGAGTCTGGAGGCCGATGATTAATTGTTAACAGTGTTTGTGTTGGCAGCAACGGTAGCGAGGTGCAGTACGAGGTAGCCTCCTCTCTAGTGACTGTAGTAGTGCAAGGTGCAGTAAGGGTCGTACCAGATGTCATGTTGACATGGTTCCAGTGGTCTGGTCTGACGCTCCTATGTGTGTTTGTTAACAGTGTTTGTGTTGGCAGCAACGGTAGCGAGGTGCAGTACGAGGTAGCCTCCTCTCTAGTGACTGTAGTAGTGCAAGGTGCAGTAAGGGTCGTACCAGAGGTCATGTTGACATGGTTCCAGTGGCCTGGTCTGACACTCCTATGTGTGTTTGTTAACAGTGTTTGTGTTGGCAGGAACGGTAGCGAGGTGCAGTACGAGGTAGCCTCCTCTCTAGTGACTGTAGTAGTGCAAGGTGCAGTAAGGGTCGTACCAGATGTCATGTTGACATGGTTCCAGTGGCCTGGTCTGACGCTCCTATGTGTGTTTGTTAACAGTGTTTGTGTTGGCAGGAACGGTAGCGAGGTGCAGTACGAGGTAGCCTCCTCTCTAGTGACTATAGTAGTGCAAGGTGCATTAAGGGTCGTACCAAAGGTCATGTTGACATGGTTCCAGTGGCCTGGTCTGACGCTCCTATGTGTGTTTGTTAACAGTGTTTGTGTTGGCAGGAACGGTAGCGAGGTGCAGTACGAGGTAGCCTCCTCTCTAGTGACTGTAGTAGTGCAAGGTGCATTAAGGGTCGTACCAGATGTCATGTTGACATGGTTCCAGTGGTCTGGTCTGACGCTCCTATATGTGTTTGTTAACAGTGTTTGTGTTGGCAGGAACGGTAGTGAGGTGCAGTACGAGGTAGCCTCCTCTCTAGTGACTGTAGTAGTGCAAGGTGCAGTAAGGGTCGTACCAGATGTCATGTTGACATGGTTCCAGTGGCCTGGTCTGACGCTCCTATGTGTGTTTGTTAACAGTGTTTGTGTTGGCAGGAACGGTAGTGAGGTGCAGTACGAGGTAGCCTCCTCTCTAGTGACTGTAGTAGTGCAAGGTGCAGTAAGGGTCGTACCAGATGTCATGTTGACATGGTTCCAGTGGCCTGGTCTGACGCTCCTATGTGTGTTTGTTAACAGTGTTTGTGTTGGCAGGAACGGTAGTGAGGTGCAGTACGAGGTAGCCTCCTCTCTAGTGACTGTAGTAGTGCAAGGTGCAGTAAGGGTCGTACCAGATGTCATGTTGACATGGTTCCAGTGGCCTGGTCTGACGCTCCTATGTGTGTTTGTTAACAGTGTTTGTGTTGGCAGGAACGGTAGCGAGGTGCAGTACGAGGTAGCCTCCTCTCTAGTGACTATAGTAGTGCAAGGTGCAGTAAGGTTCGTACCAGATGTCATGTTGACATGGTTCCAGTGGCCTGGTCTAACGCTCCTATGTGTGTTTGTTAACAGTGTTTGTGTTGGCAGGAACGGTAGCGAGGTGCAGTACGAGGTAGCCTCCTCTCTAGTGACTGTAGTAGTGCAAGGTGCAGTAAGGGTCGTACCAGATGTCATGTTGACATGGTTCCAGTGGCCTGGTCTGACGCTCCTATGTGTGTTTGTTAACAGTGTTTGTGTTGGCAGCAACGGTAGCGAGGTGCAGTACGAGGTAGCCTCCTCTCTAGTGACTGTAGTAGTGCAAGGTGAATTAAGGGTCGTACCAGAGGTCATGTTGACATGGTTCCAGTGCCCTGGTCTGACGCTCCTATGTGTGTTTGTTAACAGTGGTTGTGTTGGCAGCAACGGTAGCGAGGTGCAGTACGAGGTAGCCTCCTCTCTAGTGACTATAGTAGTGCAAGGTGCATTAAGGGTCGTACCAGAGGTCATGTTGACATGGTTCCAGTGGCCTGGTCTGACACTCCTATGTGTGTTTGTTAACAGGGTTTGTGTTGGCAGGAACGGTAGCGAGGTGCAGTACGAGGTAGCCTCCTCTCTAGTGACTATAGTAGTGCAAGGTGCATTAAGGGTCGTACCAGAGGTCATGTTGACATGGTTCCAGTGGCCTGGTCTGACGCTCCTATGTGTGTTTGTTAACAGTGTTTGTGTTGGCAGGAACGGTAGCGAGGTGCAGTACGAGGTAGCCTCCTCTCTAGTGACTATAGTAGTGCAAGGTGCATTAAGGGTCGTACCAGAGGTCATGTTACCGAGGTCTCATCGTCCAGGCTGGCAGTTCCGATGTGGTGTCACCAACTCGCCCAGCACAACATGGAACCTTACTGTCTGTTCGGCGTACACCCAGACACCCAACCTTACCCTCTGCACCTGTCCAACTATTGGCACGTACGCCGGCTTGATGGTCAAGGTTGTCTATATGGTCAGTGATAATTTATCATTTTTACATATAAGTCATTATTAATTTTTCACATTATAATTAAATAATTTCATTCAGTATTTAACTGACTAGATACACAGACAACTAGTATTATTCTCTTTCCTAGTCATATAATCTAATACGAGCAATGTTTGCTTGTATGTATGCTTGCTTGCTTGCTTGCAGAAAGATCTCGAAAACGGCTCCGACGATATTCTTCAAATCTTGTAAATAGTTTAATTTTGGCCTAAAAACGAGTTTCATGCAGTTCTATTAGAACTGCCAACAAAAATCTAATTACGTAGAAAAACGAAACTAAAAGTCACATTTTTTAACATTAGCTTATGGGTTGCTAAGTAACCATGTTGGTTGAATTAAATAACAAATAAAAGGTAAACAAGAGACTTGAAGTTGTAGCATGTGTTCATAATAAGCCAACTACCCACAGGTATTTACTCAGGGGAGGTATAGAAGAGGCTACGATGACAGCTGTGGGCTTCTTATTAGCTGAGGGAACGCCATTACCGTAACAATACGGTCTGAAGCCATCGGCCTCGGTGGATTAGTGGTTAGCGTGCCGGGCTGATATGCTGAAGGTCCCGGGTTCGAATCCCGTTAGTAGCAGTAACTTTTTGTCCAAGAGTTTTTCTTTATCAGCAAGTTTGGTTGTTTTGGTTCGGTTATGACAGTTTAATTTTATTATTAAGTCATTATAAAATTTTAATTGAGCAATTTCTAGTTTTATTTAATAAACAGAATTATTTTTTCTATTACTAAACTTTTGTTATATGTTATTTCATTATCAGCAAGTTTGGTTAGTTCGGTTAGGTTATGATGGTTTAATTTTATAATAAAAAAATAATAAAATTGAATTTGAGGCATTTATAATTTTATTTTATGAACAGAACTATTTTTGCGATTAGTAAATTAAACCTTCATTGCCAAAGTGCTCTCTACTACAGCGCTGTTCACGGAGGAATTTTGAACTAATGCCTCAATCGTACCTCCCCTAAGTCAGACCCCTACCCACAGTATACTAGCAAATTACAAATACAGTACAAAAGGGAAAGCATCACTTGTTACTATTGAGCAAAGATTATAGGCCTACTGTAGATTACTTGATACATTGTAGTAAAGTCTAGCCGTGCGGAGTGTGGGATCTGTGGTTTATGATGATTAGATAAGGTATCTGCAATCGGAAGGAAACAGGTCCGCGACGTAGGAAGTGGTGAAGGAAAAAGGTCCACGACGTAGAAAGTGGTGAAGGAAAAAGGTCCACGACGTAGGAAGTGGTGAAGGAAGTAGTAAAGGCGATCTGTCCGGAGTGTGGAATCTGTTTATGGCGATTATATAAAGGTATCTGCAATCCTAAAATGCCGTAGGAAGGGAGGGAAACAGGTCCGCGACGTAGGAAGTGGTGAAGGAAGTAGTAAAGGCGAGCAGTCCGGAGTGTGGAAACTGTTTATAACGATTATATTAAGATATCTGCAATCTTAAAATACAATGGGAAGGGAGGGAAACAGGTCCACGACATAGGAAATGGTGAAGGAAGTAGTAAAGGCGAGCAGTCCGGATTGTGGGAACTGTTTATGACGATTAGATTAAGATATCTGCAATCCTAAAATGCCATAGGAAGGGAGGCAAACAGGTCCGTGACGTAAGAAGTGCTGAGGGAAGTAGTAAAGGTGAGCAGTCCGGAGTGTGGGAACTGTTTATGACGATTAGATTAAGGTATATACAATCCTGAAATGCTATGGGAAGGGAGGGAAACAGGTCCACGACGTAGGAAGTGGTGAAGGAAGTAGTAAAGGTGAGTAGTCCGGAGTTTGGGAACTGTTTATGACGATTAAATTAAGGTTTCTACAATCCTAAAATGCTATGGGAAGGGAGGGTAACAGGTCCACGACGTAGGAAGTGGCGAAGGAAGTAGTAAAGGCGAGCAGTCTGGAGTGTGGGAACTGTTTATGACAATTGGATTAAGATATCTGCTATCTTAAAATACAATGGGAAGGGAGGGAAACAGGTCCACGACGTAGGAAGTGGTGAAGGAAGTAGTAAAGGCGAGCAGTCCGGATTATGGGAACTGTTTATGACGATAATATTAAGGTATTTGCAATCCTAAAATGCTATAGAAAGGGATGGAAACATGTCCACGACATAGGAAATTGTGAAAGAAGTGGTAAATTCTAGCAGTGCGCAGTGTGGGAAATGTTTTTTGGCAATTAGATTAATGTATCTAGAATACCAAAATGCTGTGGAAAGAGATAAAATCAGGTCCACGACGTAGAAAGTGGAGTAGGAATTAGTAAATTTTAGCATAGCTGAGTGTGGGAACCGTCTGTGGCAGTTAGATTAATGTATCTTCAATCCTAAAATGCTATGAGAAGGGATGGAAACAGGCCCACGACGTAGGAAGTGAAGGAAGTAGTAAAGGCTGGCATCGCGGAGTGAGGGAACCAATTGTGGCAGTTAGATTAATGTATCTGTAATATATAAATGCTATGAGAAGGGAAGGTTCATTACGTAGGAAATTGTGAAGGAAGTAGTAAGGCTAGCAGTGCAGAGTGTGGGAACTGTCTGTGGCAATTACATTCATATACCTGTAATCCTAAAATGTTATGGGGAGTTTGTGGAGTTTGGGAATGGATTAATGTATCTGCAATACTAAGACTGCTTTCAGAGTAAACTAATGATTTACCCCGATCAAAGCTCGGTCCCCAGGTACTATATAGCCTACATGACCTAGATGCTGGATTAATAATTTACAGCATAAGTGCATTCATTAAACCACATTAAAGTACAGTGACTACTTTTCAGCATACTTTATCAACATGTGGTGAAGAATAATTATAAAAAAAAAACTAGTTTTAATTCTAAGAGCTCAGTAAGAAATATATTACAAAATTTGTCTATGGAAAATGTAGTAGAAAAGGGATTTAACATAATGCCATCAACGGAGCTTATATTAGATTTTTAGATTTTAAAGGACGTAATTTAAAAGAGTGGATTTCTAGGATATCATAGAGCGGGGCTGAAGTAAGTAAATTATCACGATTATTGGGAGATAAAAGAATACTTTGGTTCCTTCTAACCTGTGCTATCTTTGGCGAGCCGGTATAAAAATACATAAATATTTAATGTAGTTTTATTATAATGAAAACTTTATGTTTTGGAAAGTATTTGATTAATTAAATATTATTATACGATAGAGAATACTATGGTTTAGCCTCATACTAAATGACTATCACAAATATAATGTATGAACAACTGCAACATCATAAAATAATAATTTTACAAATGAATCGACTGAACCTGTATTCATCCTACTTTATTTTATGTGCATTTCAGAGTGAGTCCAAACAAAAGCGGTCTATGGCACGGATAGTGTTAGTGGGTTGTGTGTGCTGCCTAGCTCAGTCACTTGTGGCTCTATCGCTACTAGCACTCAGGTGGTATCGCCATACTACATGTCTGTTATTCCTCAAGCTACAATGCTGTGCGACCACCGCTACCGCCATGATTGCCTTCCTGTACGCCACCAGTAGTACACCACCACATGTATGTAGATTGTATTTCCATTCTTTAACTATATTTTGCTTTGTTATGTATCGTGTCAATTAGGATAGGCACGTGGGAGGTATGATAGCATTACCCACGAATACAGAGAGTTACACCACTAGATACAAACCCCTAGCGTAATCCAACGTCAATTAATTGAGATGACTACAAAATAGCGAAAGCGATAGCGGTGGGGAAAAGGTCCTCCTTTAGCTCATTTTCATCTCGTTTGCGATTTGATACGACCTGAAAAGTAATAATATTTCATGTACGTTGTTTGCCTTGAAACTCTTAGCTGATTCGATTAAGTTTTTCCTAAAATGTTATTTTAAGTCCTCTCTATAACAATCGTTCCTCGATAACCGTAATTCCATACACATAGTATAACCTAATTTTTAAACGTTAATATGAACTGTTGTGTTTAGGAGTCGTACCCTGCGATATCCACAGTTCTTCAGGCTGCTGTCATGGTCAGTCTGTCGTCACACCTCAGTAAGGTTCTGCTTGTCTACACGGAGGTATACCTACCCTCCGTTAAACACATAAGGCACACGATCATCTGCATTATAACAGGTATTTTGGGTTTCCATTAATTGAAACATTTTTGTGATGATATTTTGATTAGAATGAAAGCTTACTAATTTAACATATTAACATCTAAACTCTGCGTGAAAACACATTTCTCGAATGTTTTACTAATTTTTTTTTTTCACAAGCTAGCAAAATATCACATAAAAAAGGTTTTGACATTCACTTTGCTGAAATCTGACGTTAACTCAGGCGTAAACTACGGCGAGGAACAAACAAATTAAGCTGAGACATCAAGTTACCACCATCGATCTTATGGCTTGAGGAGGAACAATAAAACAGTGTACTCGAGCTGATCCCTCTAACAAACTTAACATCTCTGGTTAAAATGCAAGATATTAAAAAGTCAAGAAGTTTTAAAATGTATTATATTTTATATACTTCTTACTCCTAATGTAGACCAAATTCATACCGTTTGATTTCAACTAATTCGCAAAAGATTTAGCTTACATATATTGGTTTTTAATTTAGTTTTTTTTTTACTAAAAGTCCAGTAACGGAATTCTGATGAAAATTTGAACATGAATTATTAGCAGTTTTGCAGGGATGATTAACAATAGTTTTTTTTTCATTTGAATTGCTTGTTAGTTGGCAACAAATCTTAGAGATGTGTATACATTTTTTAAGACAAAATTGAATTGGCAGATGTCATGGTAAAGAAGCGTACTAGAAAAATTACTGTCTGTACAGTTTTTTTTTTTATGTACTGAAGCATAAACAACTTTTATTAGGATATCTCAACTTTTGTCTGTAGAGTGATTTTGTGTTTTAATCTGACTGCCTGCCACTCTATTTAAGAAATTCCCTATGATATAGCTATGTTTTAGGTGATTTTTGCGATAACGTAAAACACGTGATAGTTTTCCATATGTTCGGCTTCATCATTTATCAACGTGTATATTGCCAGCACTTCGTTTAAGTAGATGATATTTCATCACTAGGGCATAAAGTTACCCGAGTTGGAGTTTTATGATTGAGCCGAAGTCGAGTTCTGAAAGTAAGTCAAATACCCCCACCGCAGTAAACCTGTTGTCTAAGCGAATTTCCATTTGCCTGAAATGATTTTTTATTAATATATTTAAATAACATTAGGTTTAACTAGTACCTTGGCTTGCTGCCACAAGGAAACTAATGAAGTGTGTTTTCAAGTAAAATAATTATAGCTTAGTATAAAATATACAAAAATGTTAAGTTTGAACAAAATATATCTATAAACAAGCAAACTACAACAGTTTACAATGTTGTCTATAAGAATAACATGGGAATTTTATATTTACAAATTTTTGAGATTTTTCTTTAACCAATAATAACACTTTGATATATTGAATTATTTGTTTTTTTAAGCTCTCTAAAGAGAAATTGGGAAACTTTGTGTTTTGTGGGTCAAAAATGAGAAAAACAAATTTTGACCTCAATAAAACCCCGTTCCTATAGTCCGATCATGCTGATTCGAATTCAATTTTAATTGACTTACACATTCAAACCAAATTTCATCAAAATCAGACAAAGATTACTCATGTTATCGTGTTCACGGACACACACACACACACACACACCTACACACACACACTCACACCCACACACACACACACACACACACACACACACACACACATATAAATAAATATATATATATTTAATTAATTAATCCATATATATGCATACAATTTTGAACTAATTGTGTTTTTGGCCTCTGGGGACATCAAAATGAAAAAGTAAATTTGTTACGGGCCTAGAACTTACCATCTACGGTAATAGCTACTTCCCTATAGGGAAATTCTCTAAAAACACTATTTGCCCGCGTGATGAACGATGTTTCTCGTCATATTGCACCATTATTCAAGCTAACTAAGTTGGAAAGCAGTAAAAAGTTGTATGTAAAAATTACCTCTCCATATGACTTTTAACTTGTTCTCAATATTGCTGATGAAAACCGTCAGCTGTTTAGTAGGTGACTCAATCATTTCGACTATTAAGATTGTGTCAGTGTACATTATACCATCGATATGTTGAACTGTTAACAAGAATGGAACAATCTATATATTTAATACACAGTTGTAACACTGTTTTCTCAGTAATTACTGGACCGATCTACAAGTTCTATGTGTCAAATTAAAGGGGATAATGCATAGATTTGCCGAACTTCATTAGAATTCACGGTTTTTCTAAGGGTTAAGACCTACAGCCCTTCAAAGGTTGAGTCAATACAATTCTTATTGAAGAGTATAATCTTTGACTATTAATTACAATACCCTAGCGCAATCTGTGACTGGCTCACACAACTACTTTCTTTTTTAGTAAAAAATTGGCGACAGCTGATCCATATAGATGGGATGTCTAATGGTATAATACACAGTTTATAAATTATTCGTCAGCTGTTTAATGTTTGCCAGACATTTGTTATTATTTTATAACCTCATATTCAGTATGTAATAATTATAATCTAGGAATTCCTGTTAAAAAAAATACGATTTGGAACAAAGAAAAGTGTATTTGTTAACTTTTTATACCACAATGTATTATTTATAAATGTCTTTGAACATTATTTGTAGCCTATGTTTTGGTGCAAATTTTGTATTTTCGAATAAAGTGTTAGTTTTCTGAAGAAAAGTGGTAATTGAGTTTAAATTTGAGCATGGAATGTGAAAGAATACCCATACGACGGAAACTTCCGCTTGCAAGTTGTAGCCAAAAGAAAATTGTTAATGAGTGGGAAAAATACAAACATTTTACTTTAGGGATGAATCTTACTCAAGGTCAGTGTTTGATGTTCTTGAGATGGCGAGTACTATGGATATGTGGAACTACAATTTATCAGTGAACTATACCCTATAACTATTTTTTCAAGTACACAGGGAAGATGCTTGAGAAACTGTGCCTTACGATTTTGGTTATGGCGAAGAAGTGTGTGACTTGATATTTAATGCCAATGTTGACTCATTACATCGTTATAAAACTTTATCATAACTCCCAGGGTGTGAAATAGTACAAAAAGAAAAAAGAAAAGGTGAAAAGTCATTAACCGTGCGTAAAGAGACAACCATTACGAACAAAACACGTGGAAAGCCATCGAATAAAAAAAGTAAAAAGCAGTGATGGTGTTAAATGGGTTCTGGAAGTTCTTACAAAAAACCATTGACTTTTTGAATTGGGGTCGTTAAATTGGATTTTTCACTACTGAAAATCTATGAATTTATTGGCAGAACAGACTAACAGGGACACAAATATATTCTCCTTATATTGTCACAAGAGGGAGGTAAAATTAGCTCCTTATCAACATTCTGAGATCAACAAAAATCTTATCAACGGGGCTACATCAAATATGAATATAGTATCAAAAGAAACAAAAAAAACTTCCAAAAAAACTATTTGATTAATAAAAGATTATATGCCTACAACTCTGCATTTGCGGTTATCTATAAGTATAAAAGAGGATGTTTGTATATATATATATATTAGTTTGGCAGTGATAAACTCAGACACCGCTGAACCGATTGCCACGAAACTTGGTACATACGTGTAGAATTTCATGGATTAGGTTTATACACCATCAATATCGTGATCCGTCCAATCGGCTCCGCCCCAGTGGCTATGGAGTTTCCCATTTTAACCTTATGAGAAATGGAATTAATGAATCTTAACAGCTGTTTCAATTACACAAGTTGGTTCTGTTCTATGATGATCAATAGCATTAAGGCTAAACATCCCAGGTTTAGTTCCAAATTCTGCCACCACGTCGCAGCACCAAAATGGAGTCATTTTGTGTTGGTGTTTATTGGTTTAATTTTCATCCGATTTTCATTTTGAAAACTGATTTGTAAACGGGATAAGATAACAATTCACGCCATTGAAGATAAATTTGAATTAAGTTGCTGGTTAAAAAAAATTATAGTAAAATAATTGTGTTACAAAATGAAAAATGAAAATTGCAGGTAGTCATTTTAAAGACAATAATTTTTAATTAATTTTACTTTTTAAATTTTTAAAATCGCTTGGCTAGTTTAGTCGGTATCGTTGTTTAAACATTTACAGTAATTATAACAAACGCAAGAGAGACATGAAGCAGGAAGGACAGGGCCGCTGTGACTCATTCCAAGGTCACACTCACATTTGCTACCCCTCCCCCCACAACAAGGCTGGGGTGTTGCTTGTACACCGGTGGATAACGGTTTCCTGCGCTTCCATACACGAAATACAGAATTGAATTAGGGGTTTTGCTACGCTTTAACCAAAGTAAATTGCAAACAAAATAATTATTTAAAAAATTTGATAGTGTAATCAAATTTTTAATTTTATGATAATCGTATTTAGGCCTAATCAAACTGTAAAATTGGTGTAAATACGTTGGCAAATATATAAATCTATATAAATAAAATTACAGTTTTGTCTGTACATTGCTTAGAATCATGCAGTTGTTGGTTATTTTTACGTTTCATAGCCTAAGAAAGCCGAAACGAGTCTTATCTCAATTTCTGTCTGTCTGTCTATTCTGCCATTCCGTATGTGACGCCAAAATGTCATTTTACGCGGCCTACTCCTAGAAAACTAGAGTTCCGATCAAGGTTCTAATAATTTTTTCGTATTTACTGGATTGGTGAGAGTGTCTTTGGCTATAAAAACATGACCTCGCTTCTTTGAAAACAAAGTAACGAACCATCAAAAACCCAATTTGGTTAGAATTTTGTCAAATTTTCTCCCAATGTTTACTACTGTATTACATTTTATGAAATAACGATCAGCTGTTTGGATTAGTTCTCACTTCTAGCTGTCACTGATATGTTTTAAAGTTGCTTACAAATAATACTATTAATGGAAAATAACTATGATTTTCGAAAACTAAACAATGTAAAACCAAGGGAGATTAATAACTTCTGAACTGCACAACATCAAGTGAAGGTTTTTTTGAGAAAACCATATAGTGAGTTTTTAAAGCTTTACGTTGTTAACGATACATGTTACATAATTTGTGGCCTGTGTATTTATTT